TAGCAAAAACCTCTCCAAAAAAAAAAAAAAAAATTCAGGGTACTGGGGCCAGCAGGTCGTGTGGTAGTTAAACGTACTGGATTCCCACATAGCTGACTGCGGTTAGAGTCCTGGGCCTGGTGGCTTGCTTTCTCACTTTCCCTTTCATTCTCTCTCTGTCTCTCCCTGGTCAAATTAAAAAATTATAATTACAACAAATGGAATTAAATAAACAAATTAATAATTCTTTAAAAAAAGTAATAAGTAAAAATAAAAAATACTAGACCTTAAAACCCAAACTCATGGGGGCTGGCAGATGGCATAGTGATTAAAGTGCTGGACTCCCTATATATATATATAGGAATTCATGGGGCTCAGGCTGACTCCATGCTGCCGTGGTGGTGTGCTGCCCAAGCTTGAATCCCCAGCCCAGTCAGCCTGAAGCACAGTGGGCAGGTGTGCAGGTGCCTAAGAGCTGATGGGCTGGAGAGCTGGAGGAAGGCAACCACAGGGTGACCAGACTGTGGAGGGCATTCCTCTTGCTCTTTTTCTCTCTCTCTCTCACATGTGCACTCACACACTTCATTAGCAATACAAAGGAAAATGTTTACATCGAAAACAATTCAGGGGGCTACTGTGCTTCTCTCATGCTAGCCATAGCTGACCTGTCCTGGCCTTAGCTCCTAAGAGGGAGGGCAGCAAAGAATCTGGCATAGTTAGTTACTGTGCCAGACCTAGGGTGTCTGACCTGGGGATCTCGCATAACAGCTGCAACAAAACTGCCCAACCGGAAATAGTATGGGAGGGAGCATCCCCTCTCCCCTGCTCACTCAGAGTGGCCCAGCCCCTCTACTCCATCCCGCCTGCACCCTGTGCTCGGATGCAGTGTTCTGAGCTGTGGCTGCTACAGCGCTGGATGGTGGAGTTTCCTGAGCCTCTTCCCAAGGCTATTCCTTCATATGACCCTCTGCCAGTCTGGTGACCTTAACTGCAGTGTGCCAGTGTCATTCATTGAGCAAATGTTTGGCGAGTGTCTGCTGGGTGGCAGACCTAGCCGGGGACAGAGTCCTCCCAACGCAGACTGACCTGTATGTTGAGACAAATTGTGAAATGAGTCATTGCCATCCTGAGCAGGATCCACTCCTGCAGCTGTCATCAGGGGACCCAAGGCCAGTCCTTGGCAGCCCTGTTCAGAAATGGTCCCTCTAGAGACTCCCGAGATGAGCGAGGAGGTAGTGGGAACAAGGGTCTATGCTGGTGGGCCCTGCACCACTAGACAACTCGTCCAGTATGTGGCTACGTGGACTTGACATCTCCAACGGTGACTGGCTGGACCCCAAGTCTGGTTTTCTGACGAGCCCAGTTTGTTGGGTTTTCCATAAGCCTCTGTCAGGAGGACATCTTTCCTTTCCAAAATATTAGTAAACAGGAACTTAGACTGATTTAAACCAAATATTTTGCAATGAAACAGAGCACAGACACACTAGTGCATGAGGACATTATTATTTTTCTTTTTCCTGCTCGTCAAGATGCTGACGGCATCGCCTCTTGAAGCCTGGGAGTCCCTGGGCCAAGAAACAGAAGTCCCTGGGCTGAGTACCAGGGAGCCAGGGGCCAGGAGCTCTGCCGCTGGGAGCTGACAGGCCACCCTCAAAGAACTAGACATCAGGCCTCCAGGTTCCCCGCCCTGCCAGCGCTAAAGCTAATGGCCGAAGGTGGCAGGGCGGGCAGGTCTTGACAGCTCTGAGCAGCAGTTGTCTTACAGGCCGAATAACAGGTAAACCACCCTCCAGCCATGCAGGGACATAGTGATATGGCCACTGAAGAACTCGGCAAGTGCTGGGATGCAGCCGTAATACTCGCTTCAGTAATAAACCAGCGAGAAATGGAAAGCGGACAAGTAGCTTGAGCCTCAGTGTCTGAGGTCCCTACATGCTGACAGGGACAAGCTTACCCCCAAAAAAACAACCTCTCTTGTCCTGAGACCCCATGTGCTGCCACAGGGGACCAGCATCTGTCCCACTCTAAACCACAGACCGCGGGGTAGGCCAAGCAGCAGCCCAGGCAGCCCGCTCCCCGGAGCCACTCCCTCTCTGCAAGGTCCCGTGGACGCCGGGGCTGGTTCAGTCCTGAAACAGGTGTCCCACAACTCAGTACCTCCAGGTCAGGGCCAAGCAGGGACATATGGGGTCTCCTCTCTTCCCCAACTTCTGCTGCCGACAGCTGAGGTCCCGGCCTGTGCTCTGACAAACGCAAATGTGTCCGTGGGAACAGGAGACAGTACCGTAATGGGGGTTCTGGGACACAGGGTGGGAACTGCCGACTCAGTGCTCGGCGCCTTTCTAACAGTTTTGCATACGTGTCCAAATTCTGTGCTTAGAACAACGTAAATGTATTGTCTACCGTCCTGGAGGTCAGAAGTGCACAAAGGGGCACACGGACCAAAACCACGGGGACAGAGCTGTGTACTTTCGGGAGGCTGGGGAGGTCCTTCCTTTCCCTTCTCCAGCTTCGACGGAGGAGCTTCCTGCAATCCCAGCGCTCCCACCTCTGCCTCCATCCTCCCGTCTCTTCTCTGACTGTGACTCTTCTGCCTCCCTCGTGTGTGTTTAGGGATCCTTGTGGGGCTGGCCTGTGGCCTAATCATTAAGGGAACTGGATCCCACATGGCCGACCAAACAGTTAGAATCCTGGCCCTGGCAGCTTGAAAAACAATTCCAGACACATGTGCAAGGGTGCCCCAAATCCCAGGAGGATAGAGAGATGGCAGAGAAGGGACTGCCGTGTGATCACACGTGAGCATGTGCACATGCACGCACACACACACACACACACACACACACACACACAGAGAAACCCTGTGAATATTGGGCCCACCTGGATAATTCAGGATCACCCCATCCCAAGGTCAGTAGTCACATCTGCAAAGTTGCTACTGCCACATAAAGTGAACAGTACAGGTTCCCGGGATTAGGCCACAGACATCTTGGGGCTATTATTCTGCCTCCCACACAGTAACCGCACCATAACCATAGGAGACGGCATATTCTAGCATTATCTTCTAGATAAGGAACCAAGGTGTGGGGAGGTTACATAACTGGTCCAGGGTCATGCCACTAACAAGCGGCAGAGCTGGGATTCAAACCTGAGCTTTCTGGCTCCAAAGCGGCCTCTGATGGAAAAGGCATGAGACCTGGGCCCTGCCCTGCCTGGATCTGGCAGACGAAGATCCCAGGCAAGTTTCTAGAGTGTGAGGGAGTTTCCCAGGGAGGACGGTGTAGAGTACACTTCTGTCCTGAGGCCTAAGTCCAGAGACTTGGGTTCCAGGTCCGGCCCTGCCTGTGACTCCCTGAGCAATGAGAGGCACTGGGCGGATTCTGTCCACTGTCTTCAGCCTGCACTTCTGTAAAATGTGTGTGTGTGGGGGGGGGGGGGGGGGGGGAGGTGGAGGCTGGAGTGGTGGATCTCAAAGGTCCTCTAAGCTAGGACGTGCATGGGGCCTCCGTCCCCCTCTTGGGTCCTGTCAGTGCCTGGTGTGGGATGTCTTGGGCCTCCCAGAAAAACTTTCCAAGTCGGTGCTGAGAACTCCCATGAACACACAGCACGTGGCATTTACTGGCTCTCCCCGGGGGCCTCCAATAGCCCTGACCCTTCTCACCCCAGTTTGCAGATAGGACACTGAGGCTCAGAGAGATTACAAAACGGGCTCAGGACCCTCCAGCAGGGATGGAGGCAAAACAATAAGGAATCAGGTCCCTTGCCACCTGCTGGGCCCGGTCTTTCCCTCATGTCAGGAGTTCTCGAGGGCAGGGGCTCATTTCCCCCTGTGTGATTGAACATAAATAGGAACCACAAACCGGTATATCTGCAACCTAAGGGACTTCTCTGCAGGGATTTCATTCTGTGTGTGCCTTTTTTAGTGTTAAAATTACTTTCCCTTGGGAGCCAGCCAGTGGCACCGCAGAACATGAAGCCCTGCAGTGCTGGGCCATGCGGGAGGGTCCCACGTCCCCTTGCAGACGCCTTCCTGTCCACACTGGCTACATGTGCGCCTGCGCGTGATCCGGGAGAGTGGAGGTGGGCGGTGTAGTGTGAAGACTCCGCTGTGGTGCCTCTCTCTCTGTCCTTCTCTCATGGAAGAAATGAGAAAGTAAACTTGAAAAAGAAAAGAAAAAAGTTTCATTTTTTAAAAGTATTATTTATTTTTATTTATTATTATTTAATTTGCTATCGGGCACATCTACCCATCAGAGAGAGAGGGAAAGTGAGAAAGCAAGTTGCCAGGTCTGAGACTCGAACCACAGGCAGCCATGTGGGAGTCCAGTGCCTTAATCAACATACCACCTGCTGACCCCAAGAATCTTTTGTTTGTTTTAAAATGATGTTCAAATGAGGTCAATGATGAGTTTTGGGTTTTTTTTTGGAGTGGGACAAGAGCACTGTCTTTATGCGGCAAAATTAAAAGATGGCAGTCCCCGTTAGGTTCTAGAATCCGTTTCGAAATGCTAGAGTTGCTCTCTTACATCGTGGTCTGAAGACCACTGAGCCCCTCCGCCTCTCCCCAGGCAACTCCATGGCACCAGCATGCTCCGTTTTGCAGGTGGGGGAGGCCTGCCAGCCTAGACAGAGGTGGGGGACCTGCTGGGACCCTGGGACCGGAGAAGAGCCCAAGCCTTGGGGCTAGGGGGTGGGGGCAGGGCGGGAGTGGGAGCAGCTCTCCCTGGAATGCAAGAAGACAGTGGGAGGAGGAGGTCTCCCAAGGGCCCTTCCTCCTGTCCCCTGCCGCGCTGGCGCAAGGGACAGTGGCAGCACGCCCACTCACAGAGGGGAAGGTGATGGTGCAGCTGACCTGACCCGGGGCCCTGAGACCTGCAGGCCTGCAGCCACGCCCTCCACACTCACTTGAACCCTTGATCCCTGCCCCTCAGCCCCCGCAGCTTCCTGTTTGTCCACTCTGTTTGCCCGGCCCCAGGGACAGAGCTGATCCTTGAACTCTAAGTTCCACATCGCTGGACCAGTGAGCAGGACAGGGCCCACAGGGCTTATCAGCCTCCCGGCCCAGCCCCTGCCTCGGGACATAAATACGGAGGGGAGCGCTGGCCGTGCATACTGTTCAGCGCTGAGGGAGGTGAGTGCCAGGGCCCGCTCCCCCTGCGCCAGGCTCTGAGGCCCAGCCTTTGCCCCAGGCCCATGCTTGGGTACCTGAGGCCTCCTCCCCTGGCTGGAATACGTGGGGGAGCATAGGGCTCCGGCACACCAAAGGCCCCCCACTCAGCCAGGCCCTTCTTCTCCTCCAGGTCGCCCACGCCCCTCCAGGATGAAAGCTGTGGTATTGACCTTGGCTGTGCTCTTCCTGACGGGTAGGTACCCCACCGGGGGCCCTTCTCCCCACACCCCTGTGGCCCAAGCTTGTGGACAACTGGCACAGGGAGCAGTCCCCCTCACTAGCCCCCTCTCCCCTGGCTCCTAACTCAGCAGCTCAGCTCAGATCCTGGCCCAGAGCTGGCCTGATCTGGGGTCTCCCCTCCCACCTCCAGGGAGCCAGGCTCGGCACTTCTGGCAGCAAGATGAACCCCAGTCCTCTTGGGACCGAGTGCGGGATTTAGCCAATGTGTACGTGGATGCAGTTAAAGAGAGCGGCAGAGAGTATGTGTCCCAGTTGGAAGCCTCCGCCTTGGGAAAACAGCTCAAGTAAGGACCCGGCTATGGGCGGGCGTGGGGGCATGGGAAGGTGTTACAGCCAGGCTGGTCCAGTCCTCACCTGCTCTTTGATGAGCTGGGCCCCAAAGACGGTCTGGATAGAGAACAGAGATGGGATCCCCAGGCAGGGTCACGGCCCCCCAGCAAGGGACAGCCCTGTGCTGCTCACTCCATCATCACTGCACCACATGCGGCCTGCAGGGCCCGCAAGTCCCTTCCCCTTAACCACCTCCTCTGCTCCTGGCCAGCAAGAGGGGTGACTGTCCCAGAGAAGACAGACTGGATATAGGGCGAAGTCCTGCAAGGTCCCAGCTTTGGCGACAGACAGAAGTGGGCACCAGTCCCACCTCTGCCTCCCACTACACCTTCTCTGTGCCTCAGTCCGTCTGTTCAATGGGATGGGGGGGGAGGGGAGGGGGCGGGGCACTACTGGGTGGAGAGTGTAGGAGAAAAGTGAGGCTCACACTGCTGCACATGGGGGCTCGTCCTGAGTAAGCTGGGGTACCGGGCCTGCGGCTCCGCGGCAGTCCGGGACCCTCAGTCCTCTCCCCCTTTGTAGCCTGAAGCTTGTGGACAACTGGGACACCTTGGGCAGCACCTTCCAGAAGGTGCATGAACACCTGGGCCCGGTGGCCCAGGAATTCTGGGAAAAACTGGAAAAGGAGACAGAGGAGTTGAGACGGGAGATAAACAAGGACCTGGAGGACGTGAGGCAGAAAACGCAGCCCTTCCTGGACGAAATCCAGAAGAAGTGGCAGGAGGACCTGGAGCGCTACCGCCAGAAGGTGGAGCCGCTGAGCGCGCAGCTCCGCGAGGGCGCGCGCCAGAAGCTGATGGAGCTGCAGGAGCAAGTGACCCCGCTGGGCGAGGACCTACGTGACAGTGTGCGCGCCTACGCGGACACGCTGCGCACGCAGCTGGCGCCCTACAGCGAGCAGATGCGCAAGACCCTGGGCGCGCGCCTCGAGGCGATCAAGGAGGGCGGCAGCGCCAGCCTCGCGGAGTACCACGCCAAGGCCAGCGAGCAACTGAGTGCCCTCGGCGAGAAGGCCAAGCCCGTCCTGGAGGACATCCACCAGGGCCTGATGCCGATGTGGGAGAGCTTCAAAACCGGCGTCTTGAATGTCATCGATGAGGCCGCCAAGAAGCTGACCGCCTAATGAGGCGGCTGCCACCAATCCCCTTTCCAGTATTCCGTTTCTTAGAATAAATGTTTCCAAAGTAGGAAGCAGCTTCTTTCTTTGGGGAGCTTGAAGGTGGTATGTGGGGCGCTGGCGGGGACATCCAGAGAAGCCGGGATGGGTGTGGCTCTGGAGCACCGAATTCTACCAGAGCCTAGCAACTCCCAACCCAGACTGGGCCTCTATGGAACCTCGTTCGATATTGGGGAGTCTGTGGGTGCCTGGCTGGTTAGGAGGCAGGGAGTAGAACCCTGGTCCTGACCAGGCTCAGGTGCAAAGGGAGGACAGGACCAGGACAAGTGACAGACTGCTCTCCAGGTGTCAGGGATCAGGGCTGGCTTTGCTGGGAGAAGCGAGCTTTCTGTCCCCAGACTGATCCCATGTTGGAACTTGGCACTGCAGGGCCATCCACTTGGGCAAGGGACAGGAGCTTCTTCCAGCCCTCCACTCTAAGCAGGCTGGGGCAGACCTCAAGCCATTAGGACTTGATGAATTCTGGCAGGTGCAAATGAAGTACTTAGGGCTCGCTCATTCCTTATTAACTTGAAGAACTCTTAGGCAAATAGTTTGTTTTCTTTTATTAGTATTGTTTATTTCTTTATTCTGTGAGTGCAAGAGGACAGCGGGGGTGGTGGGGAGGAGACAGTGCCCCCAACAGGGTTTTGACACTGCAGTCCACCCCCACAAAGTCTTGTCCCTATAATCCGCCCCCAGCCTTCAGCTAGCCCCAAATCATGAGCAAGGTGTGCTCAGTGTATTCAGGGAGGTCTTTGTGGACTCGAACCGGGACCCGTCCCATGTGCGATCACCTCACAGAGCGTGGCATTTTGCCACCGTGCCACCATCTGACCTGTTCCTCTTTCTCTTTCACAAAGCTCTCCTTCTACTCCTGCCCTCCCCAGAAACAGAAACAGCCACAGCTGAGGATGCCAGCCATCCTACCCATGTGGCTCCAGTCCCCGCCGCCGCCTCTTTCTGGCAGCCCTGACCCAAGCCAGAAAAATAACAGCCACCTCTTAGAAGTAATTAGTGCATTATTTCCAAGATGTTTGGGTATCCATCCTTCCTGAAATCCTGGGTAGATTGCCAGTAGACACATGGCACAGAGGAGGAGGCTGAAGCATGAAGATGTGAAGTCATTCACAGAGTGGAGTTAGACCCGTCTGCCCCTGGGCATCCTTGATGATCAAAAAATAATAATAATAATAAAATACAAACAAAACGAGGCACATGGGCTGGCTCTGAGGCTCTGCGTAATGCACTACAATGAGAAGCCAGATCCCACAGGGCCACCGCAGTCCAAACCCCCGGCCGGGTCAGCCGGAGACACGCCAGGCATGCGCTCGAGTGCCTGAGATCTAGTGGGCTGGAGGAGCAGGGGAAGAAGATCATGGTATGCCCAGACCCTGTGGAGGGTGCTCATCTCTCTCTCTCTCCATCTCCTTCCTCTCTCCCGCTTTTTTTTTTAAAGAATTATTTTATTTATCTTTATTTATTATTATCATCATTATTATTATTTTCCAGTTTGACCAGAGAGAGACAGAGAGAGAGAGAGGAAGTGAGAAAGCAAGCCACCAGGTCTGAGACTTGAACCGTGGTCGGCCATGTGGGAGTCCAGCGCCTTTAACCACTATGCTACTTGCCAGCCCCCCTCTCTTACTCTTGTATGTTCACACCTGCATTCTATTATGAGTAAAGGAAAAGTGTAGCAATGTTCTCAAGTTCACCTGGGTGTGCATGCACACGTGCACATTCTCCCACTTAGGTCGCCGCTCACAGCTGGCGCTCTTCACACTTACGTCGGCACACTCCCACAGGTGTGCATCCGCCTCCACAAATGTGGGCAGTGCACCCGGAGAGACCTCCCCCTCTTCTCTCTCCGCAGGCCTCTGGGTAACTTGCCCCTTCTCCATCTCTACTGTATCTTTTATTTTTTTTCTTTAAAGAGATTTTTGCTATAGGGCAAATGCACCTGACAGAGAGACAGAGACAGAGAGACAGCGAGAACTCCTTGCCATGCCACAACTCCTGCCCTTCTCCATTTTCCTCTCAGGATTTTGGGCACGCACACGCACACACACACACACACACACACCTGTGTGAGTTTCAAGCCTCCAGGTATGAAACTCAAACCACCGTTGGCCATGTGGGAGCCCAGCAAGGGAACCGTTACGCTGTCTTCTGGTCCTGAGATACAGGGCAGGCTTTGAGCTCCACTCCATCTAGAGCTGTGATGAGGGTCAGCCAGATTCGTGTGGGAGCACTTCAGGGTGCTGAGATTCTGCATCTAGATGGGCTGGAAGAGAAGCCCAGGCGGATTTCCAGAAGCAGCAATCTCCAGGTGGGGCTGGTTGCACCAGTGCCACCAAGATCCGCACAGGAGCCCAACACCTGGCACCGGAGTAACAGCGCTCTTCTGTGCCAGCTGAGCAGAACATGGGCCTGCAGTGGGAGCCGGGGTGTGCCTACGTGCGCACCTAGGTGAACCTGAGTGCATCAGCACACACGTAACTTTTCCCGTTTATTCATTACAGAGTGTCTGGACTCGAGGCCTGGCCCTGACATTTGGTGGCCTGATGACACCAGGCAAGTGCCTTCGCCTCTCTGAGCCTTGTTTTTTTTTTTTTTTTTTTTTGAGAGGTTTTTTTTTTTTCACTATAGGGCGCGTGCGCTCGCCAGACAGACAGCGACATAGAGACAGAAAGCGAGAAATCCCCCCCCAGGGGGGATGGTCACGCCGCAATCCCTTCTCCTCCATTCTCCTCCCGGGATCTTGGGCACGCACGCACACGCGCCCGGCGTGAGTTTTAAGCCACCGGGTCCGGGACGCGAACCGCGGTCGACTACGTGGGAGTTCAGCGACATAACCATTATGCTAACTGCTGGTTCCCAGCCTTGTTTTTTTTTTTCATCTGAAGAGTGTGGGGGTGCTGCTCGAGTCATCGCTGGGTCCGGAACTCTCCAACGTGAAGTCTGTTTGGCGGTAAGGACACAGGCGAAGCAGCCTTCGTTGGGGTGACCTTGCATTCCTTCTTGGTTCCCAGGAAACGGCCCCCACCTCACTCAAGTCCTGGTCGGAACCAGTCAGCTCAGCTCTAACACTGAACCTCCCCAGGTGTCTGTGACAGGCAGGTGCTTTGCCACACCGCCTCGTATCAGTCTCACGGCAGACCTCCAGGGGCCTTACATTTTTTTTTAAAAAAAGATTTATTTAGTTAGCTATTTTGTTTGTTTTCTTGGGAGAGTCTTTTTTTTTTGGCTATAGGGTGCATGTTGTTGCCAGAGAGACAGAGATAGAGAGACAGAAAGCGAGAAATCACCCCCTGGGGGGATGCCACACTGAAATCCCTTCTCCTCCATTCTCCTCTTGGGATTTTGGGCACGCACGCACATGTGCCTGGCATGACTTTCAAGCCAATGGGTCATGGACTTGAACCGCAGTTGGCCATGTAGGAGTCCAGTGCCTGAACCATTATACCACCTGCTGGGGGTTATTATTTTCATCTTTGACTAGAGAGAGACAGAGAGAGAAAGGGAAAGTGAGAAAGCAAGGAGCGAGGTCCAGGACTCAAACTGCAGTCAGCCATGTGGGAGTCCAGCGCCTTAACCACCACACCACCAGCTGACCCTCTTGTGCCCTGGTTACAGATAAAGAAACTAAGGCTGACAGAGAGCTATTTACAGATAAAGAAACTAAGGCTGACAGAGAGTGGTGGAGCCAAGATTGGAGTCTCGCTGGGTCTTACCCCAACCACAACCCCAGCTGGCTCCCCGCTCTGGTGTGCTTAGACTGGCCCAGGTGGCGCAAGCCTACGGGTAGTTCCTGATCTTCGTGACCACCCACAATTGCAACCCTGACGATAACACAGGAGTGCCAGGCACGGAGCGTGGCATGGCGCACACTGAAATCACGTTGTACAGCCCCAGCGGTTTATCAGAGTACTGTCAGCCTGTTTTCCTGTAGATTTCCACACCACCTGTCAAGACACCCTACGCTACAACCTAGAGCTCGCCCTGCCCCAAGACGTGGGGATGGACTGGCCCCAGGCCTGCCTGCATTGTGTCCAGCCCGGAGCCCACCCACGGATCAGTGCTGCCCCCTTCCCATGCCCAGGCACACACAGCACGCATGCGACGCCCACTCACACCAGCCTCTGACCCAGCTTTATTGGGAAGACAGCAGGCCTAGGGGTAGGCCAGGGCTTGGGGGTGGGGGAGCGCAGGTAGGAAACTGCTGAGAATACTGCCCCTTTCCAGTGACCTGCAGGGGGCAGCCTGGAGGCTGCAGGACCCAGGGAGCTGGCGGGACGGATGGGCAGGCAGACTTGGGCTGTGGAGGTCTCAGGCACCTTCAGAGGCTGGAGTTGGATTGGCCTCAGGGGTCAAGTCCCAGAACTCAGAGAACTTGTCCTTGAACGTGCTCCAGTAGTCTTTCAGGGAGTCGATGCCATCAGTCAGCCAGCCCCTGGGGGTTAAATCAGCGAGGAGAAGCCCAGGGTGGGTGTGAGAGCCGACTGCGTGGAGGGCCCAGTGCGTCCTCGGCCCCTCCTGCCTCCTCAACCTCCCCTAGCAATGCCGGGCAGGAAGCACCGTGGCTGCCATGCCAGGCAGAAGAGATAGGAGGTGGTAAAGGGGCCCTGAGCCCAAGTCTATTCCCTTTGTTTCTCCTGTGGGGCCCGGGGCACAAAGTGATAGGTGGGGAGACGTGCAGGGGAAGGGCTTGCACCCACACAGCACCCCTGCAGCGGTACAGGGTGACTGAATGAGGAGGCAGAAGGAGGCAGTCTTTATCTGGAAAATCACTGGAGGGTTGATGAGCTGCGTGACATGGGGCAGGGCCCCGACCTCTCTGAGTCTCAATTTTCTCACCTGCAAAGTGGGGGCAATAATCCCTGCACCACAGCTGGTCGTGAAAACTGAGGTGTGTGAACCCCTGTGTTCCAAGAATGCCAGCCGTGGCCAATGGAGGGGAGGGAGGAAGGGTGAGGGGCAGAGCGCAGGGCTGGCGGGCAGGGGCAGGATGGGGGAGCAAGGACAGACTTGTGTCCGCACTGGCCCCAGGGCTTGGAACTAGGCAGAAACACCCTAGGCTGCAGTGGGATCAGTGAGGCATCCCAGGGCAGACACAGACGCTAGCCAAACTATCAGAAGAGCGAAATGGAAGCACGGGCGGGGATGCCCACCTCAGGGCCTCCCTGGGGAGAAGAGGAATGAGCCGCACCACTGTCACCTCCCCACCACAGCCTGATGGAGGCCCGCGAGCGAACACGGGAGCTCAAAGAGGGAGCTCAGTCCCCAGGCCACTTCGCCAGGGCTCTGGTCAGGGCAGGGGCAGTGGGAACAGGGCGCTGGCTGAGGACTGGGCAGGAGAGTCAGTGGGCATACCTGGCCTGCTGGGCCACCTGGGACTTCTGCATGTTGGTCAGCGCGTCCTGGGCGGTTTTAGAGGCCTGCTGCATGTAGCCCTGCATGAAGCCGAAAAGAGTGGGGTCCTCGGCCTCACCAGCTCCTGTGGGAACAGCAGGATGAGCAGAGGTGGACGGGCCACCTATCAGGGTGGGGGTCCCCTAGTCTCCTCTCACTCCACTCCAGCCCAGTCCCCACAAGTGCTTACGGGCAGAGGCCAGGAGTGCCAGGAGGGCGGCGGCGAGGAGTACCCGGAGCTGCATGGTGCCTGTTGGTGCAGGGGAGTGTGCTGTGAGGGGGATCCCAAGCTCCCTGGGAAGGTGTGGTCCCTGGGGTGGATCTGAGCTGCTTGGCCAGGAGGGGATGGGGTCTGCCCCCCATGCTAATATGGGTCCTCAGTCAGCAAACTCCGGGAGACCAGGCCAGAGAGGGAGGGAAGGAGGGCTGGAGCAGAAGCCCCACCAGACGGGAACCGAGGCTCCGGGGTCCGGCCCAGCCTCTGCCGTGCTAATGTGCTGTGTGACTTCGGTAGGTTTCAGCACCTCTCTAGGCCTCAGGTTCCCCATGGGGCGTAGGACCGGATGTCTAAGGCTTCTTCTGCCCTAAACATCAGACCGAGGGCAGTGCGCAGGCTTAGAGTCCAAGCTCGGCCACTACCCTCTGCGGCTTTGGGCAAGTCGCCACCCCTTCCTGGGCCTCCATCTCCGGAGATCACCCTGGTGCTGGCAGCTGCTCTCCGGGCTTGCTGCTGCATGACAGGTGCCGGCTTTGCCCTTGTCCTCCTCTCCTTTCCGCTCCCCAGGGGGCATTACCTGCAGCCGATGCTTCCTGGGATGGCCTGAGTGGGCCGGCAGGAGGATTCTGACCTGTTTTATATTGTCCCCAGGACAGCGGGCACTGAGGGCCCAGTGAGCCGGCCAAAGGTCACCTGCTGACCAGCCAGACAAGGGCCTGAGGCAGGGTGTCCAGAGCAGCTGCTGGGGAGTTGGGAAATCTCTGGGGGTGGGAGGTATCTGCACCATTCTCTTACCAGACAGGCTCAGGCCCTGGGGTTGGCTCTGGGAGACCCTGTCCCTCCCTAACAGACTGGTTCCCCAGGGAAAGGCTAGTGAGATGGGACAGGGCTCTAGATCCATCTCAGCCCCTCGCTCTTCCCCGTCCCTCCCTCCACAGCCTAGAGTGTATGTGACAAGGGGTTGGAGGGGAATGGGTTCTTCAAACTGGAGACCAGCTCAGTGTGAGTCCGGGTGTCAAAGTGGAGGCACAAAGGCCCATGGTGGAGACGCGAGCGGGCAGGGCACAGGTGAGCTCACACAGCCCCCTCCCAGCGCCTCCATCTGGGCTTCGCTCCTGGCTGCTACCCACCTGGCAGCCACTCCCTGCACCCCTGAGCCCAGGGCAGGGTGGGTGGGAGATAGGCAAAGGCCACTCCGAGCCCAGGCCTTTGTCCCCTCCTCGCCTGCTCCTCACCTTGCCCTCTGGACCTGCTGATAACATCCCTGGGCAGGAGCCGGGCTCAGGCTGGACCTTCCCCAAACTGGAGCAGCTGGGCTCCTGCTCCTCCCGTAGATCTCAGGCCTCTCAGCTCAGAACAGCAGCCCCGCAGCCCCCAGATCGGGTGGGCAGTTGGGAGGAAGAGGTGTGGCAAGCCAGTCTGGTGAGGAGGGGACACAGGAGCTGGGGCTAAGGTGACCCTGGGCCCACGCTGGGCGCTGCAGCCAGGATGGCAGGGTTGGGAACTTTGTCTTCTGTACGCAGGGACTTTAGAGCCAAGAAATCCCAGGACTCAGTGACGCTTTGGCACTTACCCACATGGCCCTTAGCCGGAGATTCAACAGCCCCGGGCCTCGACTTCCTCCTCTGTGAGATGGAGATAAACACGTTTCCCAGAGCAGTGGTGAGCAGGAAATGAGAAAGCACAGAGCAGCTGGCCCACAGAGGGCTGGGCAGGGCTCTCCTCGTCCCTCTCAGACACTGTGCCCGTCCTCAGCCAGCACAGGGAAGGCAGGAGAAACTTTCAACTGGAAATGGGCTCTTGGCAGGCAACCATCCTCTTGGCAAAAAGGAACTAATCACAATATGAGAATGTGGCCTAGCCCTCCCCTCGGAATTCTTTACCCATGCCTTGAGACTCAGAATTCCTCTATTAGATTCGTTCCTTTGACGCAAGATTTTGTTTCCCTTAAAATCAAATAGGATCCTATGAGTAGACCTTCTTCTTCTTATTATTATTATTTTGCTATAGGGTGTGTGTGCTTGCCAGAGCCACAGAGAGAGACAGAGAGAGACAGAAAGCAAGAAATCACCCCCTGAGGGGATGGCCATGCCACGATCCCTTCTCCCCCACTCTCCACTCAGGATCTTGGGCACGCATGCACACGCTCAGCATGAGTTTAAGCCACCGGGTCCAGGATTCAAAAGATGGTCAACTACATGAGAGTTCAGCTACATAGCCATTACGCCAACTGCTGGTCCCAGCCCCTGGAGTAAGTTTAAGCCACTGGATCCGGGACTTGAACCATGGTCAACTATGTGGGAGTCCAGTGATGTAATCATTATGCTATCTGCTGGTCCTGATGTTATTTATTTTATTATTTTTTAGAGAGGTTTTTGCTATAGGGCACATGCGCTTGCCGAGGAGAGAGAGAGAGAGAGAAATCACCCCCCAGGGGAGATGACCATGCCTCAACCCCTTCTCCTCTGTTCTCCTCTTGGGATCTTGGGCATACACACACATGCCTGGAGTGAGTTTAAGCCATTGCTTCCAGGACTCAAACCGTGGTTGACTATGTGGGAGTCCAGTGATGTAACCATTATGCTGTCTGCTGGTCCTGACATTATTTATTTATTTATTTATTTATTTATTTATTTATTTAGAGAGGTTTTTGCTATAAGGCACGTGCACTTGTTGGAGAGAGAGAGGAAAGAGAGAGAGAGAGAGAGGGAGAGCGAGAGAAACGAGAAATCACCCCCAGGGGGAATGGCCATGCCTCAGTCCCTTCTCCTCCATTCTCCTTTCAGGATCTTGGGCACACACACACACATGCCCAGTGTGTTTTAAGCTGCTGGGACCAGAACTTGAACTGCGGTCAACTACATGGGAATCAGCGACATAACCATTAGGCCATCTACTGGTCCCAGAAGTAGACCTTATTGACTCCATTTTACAGGTAAGAAACCTAAAGCTCAGAGGGACAGGGACCCACCCAAGTGCACAGCCAGTTAGTGGGAGGGCTGGGAACACCCAGGCTATACCTGACAGCCGGAGGAGATGAGAGCCTTAGACTCATTAGCCATGCTGAGCTCGAAGCTCTCTCTGCAGGCAGACTTTGCTGGTGGAGAAGGGAGGGGAAGGAAGGGGACTATGAGGTCAGGAAAGGATTTGGGCATTGGAGAAGGGCGATGGCCAGCTTGCCCACATTTTACTTCTGGCCTGATCCTTGCTCTGGAGGGGAGGGGCACAGCAGAGATCCAGATTCCAGGTTGGGCAGGCACCGAAGTCCTTGGTCCCAGACATGCTAGAATGAGCTGGCTGGGACCCTTGGCCCTGGCTCTTCCCACTCCCTTTCCATCTGGGGAGGGCAGTTGGGAAGCACCTCCGCTGCATGGCAGTGAGTCAAGGGGCCCAGGGAAGTCGGCAGGTGCACAGAGACTCAGAAGGCTGTGCCAAGCCAGATGGAAAAGCAGGTGTGCAGCCATGCTGCCAGGCCCCGCATGCTGCCACAGCCCGGGGCTTTCAGAGGCTTGGCACCCTCAGGGCCCTGCTAGCAATCCTGTCTGGGCCTTGGTAGGAGCCTGTTAGGTGGCCAGTCTAGGCCCCTTCTCCTGGACCTTGGTAAGAGCCTGTTAGGTGGCCAGTCTAGGCCCCTTCTCCCCCAACAGCTCCCCTGGAATGAGGAGGCTGCTCTTGGCCTACAGACCCAGCCCTGCATGTGGGGAGTGGAGGTGAGTGAGGAAGGAGAAGGGGTTTGATCATCTGGGGCCAGAAATAGTCCTCTGGAGCCAGCCGATGACATGGAGGTTGGAGCAGCTGGACCCCACATGGTCAACTGTGTGGTTTAAGTCCTAGACCTGGCAGCCTGAGAAACACGCTTGGACTGTGTGCGTGCATACCCCAGATCCCGAGAGGAGAATGGAGGAGAAGGGATTGTGGCATGACTACGCCCCTGGTGGGGGGTGGTGGTGTTTTCTCTCTCTCTGTGTCTCTCCAGTGGGTGTATATGCCCTATAGCAAAATAAAAAAAAAAAAAAAAAAAAAAAAGGAAAGAGAAAGAAAATGATCCTCTGGGTTTGGGTCGACTTTCCCTGCTCCCGCTGTGTCCAGCTGAGGCTTGGCACATGGGCTCCTGGATCCTTGTCCTGTCCCTGGGCTGGCAGGGCAGCCCTGACCCAGTCCACCATGCCGCTCCTGCTGGAGGTCCCTCCTAGAGCTTCACCCAGATCCTTCCTGTGACGACAGGAGCTCTCCCCCTGTAGTCTGCCCTGGGGGGGGAGGAGGCCGGTGGAGGAGGCCGGTGTGATGCACCGGGGACGTGTCGGGGGACATGTGCTCGTGTGACTTGCCTCACCTACTACTGACTCTGACCTCTGGACTGACACCTGGTTTGGCGCTGTGTGGGTGAACAGGAGGGGTGGCCGTAGGGAATGCCATCAGCCCCACAGGTCACCTTGCCAACCACAGGTCTGTTTGCCGCACAGACAAGGAGGCTGAGGCTGAGAGGGACGGGCTTGGTGCCGGCTAGGGTGGACATCCCTGAGCCGTATGGCCAGGTTCAGCCACAAGGCAGAGTCTTTCCATCAACAGCTTGTACCCTCCCAGACAGGGCACGGGACCTCACTCTCTGACCGTCCCCCAAACAAGTCCATCTACAGATCCATTCAAAACGTACCCGCAGACTTGGGCAGGAAGCAGGCTCATGAGTGGCCTTGGGAGGCACCAGCCTGCCCTGTGGGTGTGGTCATGCAAGACTATGCCAGTGCCTGCCTAGCTCGAGACCTGACTCTGCCTGCAGACAGGCCAGACGTTCGCACACTCCTGAGCATCCCAGCAGAAGCCCTTCGGCACGCCGAATGGCGCAGATACACCTGGTGTGGGTACATCTGGGTGGGCAGGGAGGCAAGAGCACCTCTAGGCCTGTCACAAGCTGGTGGCACCTGCTGTTCAGACTGTTCAGGAGGTCAAACTGCAGTTGAGGTGTCCTTTGTGACTCACTTCCCTGTCAGCTCTGGCCCAAGGGGAAGAGACGGGGCCCACTCAGCCCTGACCTTTGCACCCGCACCAGACTAGCTTGCACCTGAATCAGGGGAAGGAGCGGGGTGGGGCCGGTGTTCTGGGGTGGGGAGTGAGCTTTTGCAGGTAAAACAGGGCCAACCTTTAATGAGTACTTGCTATGTTGTAAGCATTACACAGATGAACTCACTGAATCCTCACAGCCTAGGGGACAGTTTCTGTGATTATATTCCACAGGGGCCACCGAGGCTCAGAGAGGTCATGAGACTTGCTCAAGGCCACGGAGACAGGAAATCAGATTCCAGAGTCTGAGGCCAGCAGGTACGGAGAAGGCACAGGCTGCCCCAGGCAGGAGCGAACTCCCGGGCACTGGAGGCAGCTGTGGTAATGTAGGGACCGCTGCAAGGTAGTGGGGACCCAGCAGAAGGTGTGTTGGACTCAGAAGGCCTCATAGCTCTCTGCGACTCCAAGAGACAGCAAACCACTTCTAGTATCTGAAAACACCAAGACATGGTATATGCGCAACATAGTCTACCCTGATGGATTCATTTCACGAGTAGCTGTCGCCCACTGTGTTGGGCACTGCGCTTGCAGACAGGAGCCACGAGTGCAGTATGACGTCACTAGGGTGGTGTAGCCCAGGCTGACCATGCTATGGCATCCTCTCTGTGACCTCGCGGGCACCATCCTCATCACCCTCCTCCCCAGTGAGCGAGTCCCTGGGATTCAGTACGAGCTGACTGCGGCTTCCCAGGGAAGGGGACTGGGAAGCAATCAGGCCACAGGCTGGCCCTACCCCACTTTGTCTCTAGGCCACCTGGCGACCCTCAGAGGCTGGGTCTCCCTAGGGATGAGCACTCTACCACACTCCCTGCCTTGGTCCAAATCAGAACAAATATTATTATTTAGAGAGAGATTTTTGCTATAGGGCGTGTGCACTCACCAGAGAGACAGAAAGTGAGACATCACTCCCCAGGGAGGATGATCACACTGCAATCCCTTCTCTGCCATTCTCCTCTCAGGATTTTGGGCGTGTACGCACATGCGCCCGGCCTAAGTTTTAAGTTTCTGGGCCCAGGACTTGTATTGCAATCGGCTATGTGGGAGTCAAGCCACGTATCCATTATGCTATCTGCTTGTCCCCAGTATTATTATTAACAATAATAACAGCAACTATTTTTCAGTCCTTGTTCTGTGCCGGGTTCATGCACCAGGTTCCACCTCATGTACTGAGCAACCCCATTGTTCAGAGGAGAAACAGACGCTCGGGGCTTTGGAGAACTCAGCCAAGGCACCCCTCAGTAGTGGTGGGACATGAGGCATACCCCTGCTG